GTCAAAACTATTGCCTCAAAATAATTTATTTGCACTTAATGAAGTATTTAATCTTAATCAATCAAATTTGAGTCATTTAAGTCTGTTTGTTTTCCAGATCTGAATCTTAATCATTCAGGACTTTGTTTTTCTTATTTTACAACCACTTAATGGGTATATGTCTGTATGATTAGGATTTATAACCAAGTCTTAATATCATTAAGACGTCTATTTAAAAATTTCACTGCTACTCTATCTACCTTCACCCACAACCATCATTTTAGCCACAACTACCACAATCATCTATCACCACCACCTACCATCCACAACAACCATCCTTTGCATAACCACAACCACCATTATTGCGAATCACCATTAGGCATTATTTGCAATCACCACTAGCAACCACTATTACATTCATTATTCACTATCAATAATTACCATATTAGTTAACATAAATACTGATAACCACCATCATAATTTATCATCACCATTAGATATTAAGATTATTCACCATCAATTATCAACCACCACCATCGACACCTATAGTTAATCACTATTGCCAACCTATATATTTATTATGACAAGGGAAACTCGTAGCCGCTGTTCTTTGAGTGTGAATAAGATAAAAACCCCACTCCTATACAATAGCTCACAAACCACACATGAGAGGTCACCCGCACTAGCAAGCCTGATGTGACAAGCTTGACCCAGAAGGCAAACCCCTTGCTTTCGTTGGCAAGGTGTTTCGAACTTAAGACCTCTAACAAGAAAGTCCCAAGCATAAACCACTACTACCAACCATTATATCATACCACAATCACAATCATCGGTCAACGCATCCCAAATAAATTCACAGTCATCATCGTTAGTCATCACTACCACTCATATAAATGTTCTAAAATATTTGATTAATATAATATTAGATCAATTAAGTATTTTATTTAAACTCTATATTTATTATTTTAAAGCAAAGACAAATTTTATTCAAATCTTACCACAACCTCTTAATATTCACATGTGTATTCATACTTAGACCTATAAATCTTAATGCACATTTCAATTTTAGATGTGTATTTAGATTTAGAGGTCTTAATCTTAATGAAAACAAATGAGGCCTAAGTGATTATGTATAACACTCTCTAAATTATAAATGACCACATAACAATCTTTAAATTATAACAATCGAGTGCAAATGTATTTTGCATTTACTAAACCATGCATTGGAAACACACAATTTAGGCTTAAAACACAACAACAAATTGTGGTACGAAGATTTGTTGTTAAGAGATGAGCTTTCAAGCATTATCAAGGTTTCTTGTCAAAGTGAGGTGATAATCCAACAAATTAGGGGGAAACGAGGGTGAGATACTTTCTAAAATTTGAGGTTTTAAGAGAGATTTCCAAGATTGGGAAGTGATGGATTTTCAATGATTGTTAGCTTTTCTCCATCAGCATTGTGAGCCAGTTGGAAGATCCGATTCTATGAGATGGAAGTTAGTGAACAAAGGCGTTTTTTCTGTCCTTTTAGTTTTACGAGAAACGTTTGATGAGGGCAGTAATGTTTCCTCTAAAGTCAATTTGGACTCCTAAGGTGCCAAGGAAGGTGTGTTTTTTCTCATGGTTAGCTGTTAGAGGGGTGATTAAGACAGACGATAACCTATGGAAAAGAAAGGTTATTTTTATTCAACTAGCGTTACTAATGCAAGAAGGCGGAAAAAGAGGTAGATGAGCTTTTACTACAGCTGACTGTAAGACTATTGTGGCATATGTTAAGTTGGTTTAGTATGTCTTGGGTGATGCCGAAGTCTTTCAAGGATCTGTTGTTTAGCTGGAAAGCTGGAAAAAGCAGGAGGAAGAAGGGCATGGAAATTATTCCTCTGGCTTTGATGTGGATCACTTGGAGAGAGTGAAATGTGAGGGCTTTTTAAGGTGTAGAATTGAGTTTTGGGCAGTTGAGCAGTAGTCTCTGGTCCCTCATTTACTTTTGTTGCACCCATGTAGTTCCAGGATGTTAAGAGGATCGGGTGTCTTTTGTAGAGAACCATATCTTTTGCAGGTTCTTTACTTTTTGTATCCTACTTCTCTACAGCCAATTCTCGGCCTTTGATTTATGAACTGATATTGTTTACCTGATAGATAATAAAAAATAAAAAACACTCAAGAAAACAGGATCTTACTTGACCAAGCTTAACATCTCCGCGGTTTGGATTATATAACACATGAATGTTCCCAACTACGAGCCTCCTTGACTTGGCTTCACGCATCTGTCTGTACCAGACAAAGTTAGAAATACAAAATTGAATGGGATATGACTAAATAAGAATGTAACTGTGATTGTCTAGACAAATCACCCTGAATATCAGAAGAAACCTTCAGTTCAGAATAAATAGAGACATGCTTTCTGATATCGACTTAATCAAATGCTACCTGCACATGTTTTTATTGGTACAGAACTTGACCTACTAGAAGTGATCTGCATATTTATGCAAGAAGGAAATCATGAATAGAGGTCATTTAAGCCATTGGCCATCATATACGCATGCTCTGAAGAACTTGAAACTTGATGAGCTTTAGATTAATTATTGTGTACTAGTTAAATGCTCATATTTAGGTCGTTGGCCAGTTTCTCTCATGTTTTCCAGTTTAGTTTGGTTCTCTTTTTTTAGCCTCATATCTCCTTTTACATATTTGTACCCACCAGCTTAAAATCCAAATTTCAAGCATTCTTTCATCACTCACTGATCCCATTAGGCTAGATGAGATTACAGAACATAAGAAAAGAAGTTTGCATTTCACAACTACTACCTCAAAAACAGAGAGTTGAGCAACATTATCCCGAAGCCCATGCTGCCTAAATTCAACGCTTTCACCCTCTAACAACTGAAACCTGGCATGAGCAAGTACCCATTTCAGTCCAAACAAGTATCAAGATACTAACTGGAAGGTACAACTTTAACTCCTTGCTCTTACTTATCAGCCTTCCAAAACATAGCACAACCATCAACAGAACCACCAGTGCGCCTCTACATGATTAAGTAACACATTTAAATATTTTTCTAAGAGCAAGAAGTATAATGAATAATAATACTACACTTTTCCCTTTTCTTTTTTTAACTGGTGGGAAGCCATGGTGGTAATAGACCTTATAGGAGCCGAGATATCCAGCTTTCTCCAAAATGTTTAGTAGATCATTGTACTTGTCCACCTCCTACTCATATCACATTAATAAATTTATTCAATTAGTTTCATCGCCAAAGCATAGACATAGATAAAGTACCAGTAACCAAAAGGGAAATTGTTGATTACTTGTAGGCAAATTATATCAGGATTCAATCCAAGGAGTTCTTCACAAATAACTCTTCTACGGTGATCCCAATCTAAGTAAGCTGGGGGAACATTTCTGTATAGATCTCCGTGATTCGAAACATTCCTATCTCCCAAAATGTTGTAAGAAGCAACTGTAAACCTTTCTTCTGCACCAATATTCCATAATCTAATTCAAATTTCAGCGTTACCCCAAAAAAAAAACAAATTGAGGGACTGACCATGATGTTTGCCACCGGGAAGAGCATCCCCTTGCACCCAATGCCGGACGATTTCATGTTCTTGACTGATACCTCCGCGACTTCCCGATTTGTACCACCGCCGGCTGTAGGAAGCCGTCGGCGAAGAGGTGTTGTTACGATGGAAGCTCATATAGCACATGTTGAATATAGGCCGAAAGTTGAGGGTGGCAGCGTTCATAATGAGCCTGGGAGTGGTCAGCCACGAGGAACCGGCTCTACAGCAGCAGCCCATTGCATGAGTAGCAGAGTAAATGTCAGTATGAATCCACCGATATGCGCCACAGTGACGAATGGTCGAAAGGAGACCACGGGATAGACAAAGGAGACTTGTTTTCCTTTCTATAATTAAATAATTTGAAGATCCATTTATAGCTATAAGTTTAAGGTTTAATTAATTTGAAGCTACATATTATAATATGAAATATCAAGATTATTAAGAGTCGCATAGATAAGGAGATTCGTTTTCTTTAGGGGAAATTTATAATACAAAACGTCAAAATTATTATGAGATCACACATAAAATAAAATAATTATTTTTTGATGAAATTTCAAACATTAGTTATAATATACTTAATTAATTTGAAGCTATATTCTATAATAGGGAGCAACACATGAGGAATAGTCGTTACAAAATTACCCATACATTAGGAGGATTGTTTTCTTTTGAAAAAGAAAATCAAAAATCAGCTATACTTTACTTAATTAATTTGAAGCTACATAGTAGAAACAAGAAGAGAGATGACCAGTGGAAGAAACAAGAAAAACATAATTAATTTGTATATTTGAGTAATCACATCAAATAAAGAAAAAATGTAGATGAAAAGTAACAAAAACCATAAAAACTTGACTTCTCCATATGAGTTTTCATTAAAAAAAATATTTTACCATTTTTTACTCAAAACATCCTTTGATTAGAAAAAAAAAACTCACTTATGATAAATTTGAGGAATCAAAACTAATCAAATATATTTTTTTAAGGAATTATTTTAAGCTTACACAAATATAAATTATTTCTGTCAATTATATATCTAAAGCATTAAATTAAAAAGATCAAAATATTTATAACCATATATACTCAATATAATCTCAAAAATGAAATATGATAAATAAAGAGTGTAGACATACATTATCAGAGGCTATAATTATTTTAAAAATATGTTCAATTCAAGTGTATTAAATTAATATAATTATAAAAAATAATAACATAAAAACACATTAAAAAAATACTACAACTAAATAATATAATAGCCAAAATACAATAAACCACACTTTAATAATTATTAAAATAAGAAACAACACTATGTTCAAACGTGAAAATATTCTTAGAGGGCATTGACTTAATTTAATTTAATTAAGATAAAGAAAAAAAAGTAGATTTCACAAAAACTGACACGTGTCTAATTTCCAATTGTGTGAAGGACTTGAATCTTGATCAACAGTTTATAGTACCAACCACTCATTTAATTTTCTCCTATTTAGCAGTTTTAGCACTGCATATAAATTTTCAGGTGAAAAATAAAAGAGAACAAATTTGTGATAGACTATAAAATCAGAGATCAGTGGTAGTAGTAGTTTTGTGCGTGTGTGGAGGTGAGAGAGATATAGAGAGAGAGAGGAGTTATGGTCATGGAGACTGCCATTTGTGGCCGAGTTGCTCTTTCTCCCCATCAAATCTTCCAACCTAAACCTGGTAAACCCATCTTCCTCTCTCTATTCCTCTGTATTATATAAGTTAATTGATTGATTATTGAATCTTTATTGTTGTTTCACCAAGAATTGCTTGTTCTTTTGAGAGGTTGTGGCTATTTAATTGGAATAGTTTGCTTTCTTGAATGTTTCTATTTGAAATTTATGGATAATTCTTGCTTGCCTGAGATGGGGTTAGTTAATTCTTGGGTTTAATTTCTCTTATGTGCATTTAGAGTGAAAAACAGAGAAAAAGTTACAGTCTTTGAACTGGATTTGAAAACCCTGATGTCTAGTGGTTACCCCAAAGAAATAGCGACCAGACACACAATACAGGAAAAAGAGTATCAATTGGGGGCTCTCTGTGTGTGGGGTGGGGTGGGGGGGAGGGGTTGGTGTTGAGATAAGGTTCTTTATGCTATTCTTCTTCCTGAAACACTTGAGGGTCTATCAGAAACAAACTCTCCACCTCCACATTAGCAAGGTAGGGGTAAGGCTGCATAACACCACCCTACCTCTAGACCCTACTTGTGGATTACACTGGATATGTTGTTATTCTTCCTGTAACATTTATATATATAGAGAGAGAGAGGAGTTATGGTCGTGGAGACTGCCATTTGTGGCCGAGTTGCTCTTTCTTCCCATTAAATCTTCCAACCAAAACCTGGTAAACACAGCTTTCTCTCTATTGGATATGTTAATTGTTAATCTTTATTGTTGTTTCATCAAGAAATGCCTGTTCTTTTGAGAGTTTGTGGCTATTTAATTGGAATAGTTTGCTTTCTTGAATGTTTTTATGTGAAATTTATGTGTTCTTCTTGTTTGCCTGAGATGGGGTTTGTGAATTCTTGGCTTTCAATTTCTCTTATGTGCATTTAGAGTGAAAAACAGAGAAAAAGTTACAGTCTTTGAACTGGATTTGGAAACCCTGTTGTCTAGTGATTAACCCAAAGTAATAGCGACCAGACACACAATACACTAAAAAGAGTGTCAATTGGAGGTTGTGTGTGTGTGTTGCGGTGGGTGGGGGGCTGTAGAGACAAGGCTCTTTACGCTATTCTTCTGTTTGAAGCATTCAAGGGTTTGTCGGAAACAACCTCTATACCTTCACAAGATAGGAGTATGGCATCATACATGCCACCCCTACTTAGACTCCACTTGTGGAATTGCACCGCATATGTTGTTGCTGTTCTTGAAACATTCACAATAACTTAAAGTAAAGAGTAAAATTGAACTTTGAACTTTTACTGGGGCTGAAATGGCGATGTTTTCTACACTGAAAGGGACCGAAATTTGTGAGAGAACTATGAGAGTCCAAGTTGAAGAGATCTGCATCTTTGGCTGGTCGACCAAGTCACGTTACCTAGTAATTAGTATTCTTATAAACTGTTGATCATTCTTCCATCGAGAACTAGTTAAGTTCCGAAGTTGATCCAAGAGAGATGTATTGGTTTCGAGATATCATATAACATTAATTGAAACGCGTGTATGTAATTTTGAATCTGAGCCTGTCCATGCACTTAGTAGTAGATAAAAACATCTCTTATATGGTCACTTAGAAGTCGGACGACTCTTCAGTAACCCAGGGTGATTACCCTGTATCTAATGTATATATAACTAGAATATGTGTACATAAGTTGGAGAATTCATGAATTGCCTCTGTATTCTTCATGAATTTTGACTCACATATGTTTATAACTTGATATAAGATTGAATTGTCGGCTTATGTGATACAGGAGACAAGAAACCTCGCCAAAAACAATGGACAAATCGGAATGCTTTAATGGCAATGTCTATAGCAGGAGCTGGCAAAGGTGGTGGGTTGTTGGAGAAGCCTGTCATAGAGAAAACAACTCCTGGGCGTGAATCTGAGTTTGACTTGAGGTATGGATTCCTGAAATGTGAAGTATGTGCTGTTTCAACTAACTCAGGTTCTAAAGGCTTTACTGTTCTTTCACGAGTCTGAAACTTTTTGATTCTGCTCTTGCACGTTTACGTGTCTCCGCCAAGTGACATCTCAACTACTTCCAAAATTAAGAGTACTTTGTCTATTCCTTTCTGTTTCTTATCTGTGAAAAGTAAAGTTGATTGGAATCATCCTCATACATAGACAACGTAATAAATTGGCGGATCATAATAATAACATATTATCTACCTCTGAGGTAGAGATATGGTTTGCATATTATCTACCCTCCCCAAACCCCACTTTGGGGACTACACTGGGTATTTTGTTGTTGACGTTGTTGTTGTCATAAGAATAATATGGAGTTAAGACATAGAATTGAAGTTTAAGTAATACCAAGTCCAATCATGTCAACGTCAGATCATTGCCTTCTCTTTGTGGCCCTTCTCTAAAGAGAAAAGGAAGAGAATTTATTCTTTCTTCTTTATGTGAGGTTGTTAAAAGGAAGCACCCAATATCATATATACGACCACACAGAATTTTTCATTCTTCAGTTGCTATATTTCTTGTTTGGTGGACCTGTTACTGTTCCCTTTCCTGGACTACATTTTCCGTAGTGATAGAAAAGTAGAAACTACCCTGAAATGCTCTCTACTGGTCAGTAGTTATTTGTCAATTGAATGAGGTCATTCCATCCTGTCTTTCCAAATCCAGAATAAGTCTTAATGCTTCATTCTCCTACACTGTACATTGTCATTGCAAACTGGCTTACTGTCAAACTCCAACCACTTGGGCCGTCCAGATTCCAGCCTCATCTCTACTAAACTATTTAATCACTTGTTCTTTTACCTTACAAGAGACAACCCCTAATAAATCCCAAGTCCCAATTTCCACTGGGAGAAAACCACAGGTCAGGTGAAACCAGTCATGACTCCAATCAACAGAATCCTTATGTTTTCAAATGGAGAAATGAATTTCCAACTCCCTCCGCTAAATTCCATGGTGTACCACCTGCTACCTCCCACCAACGTAGGTACCGGATAACGCTGTCCACAAAGGCTTGGACTGATTGTAAGAAATCACCTATTTTTTTCCGTTGCCAGTGCAATTTGATCCTGAGACCTTGTGGTTATCAACTCACTTCATTGGCCACTAGACCACATCCATGAGTACATATTTCTTGATTGTTGTTTAGGTGATGTTTAAGTACTTTGTACGACACTACTAAGGTGGAAAATGAGAAATGACAGAGGAGAACAAAAATTGGCAGTAATTAAAGGGTATAGGTGGATAGCAGGAACAGAGCAAGGGTTTTCAAATAATGTTGATTCCTGTAAAGATTGAGGAAAAGGGCAATCTATCTAGGATCATAAACCTGACGTATTTTCTTTAGGGAGCACCCTAGAATTTTCTTTAGTCGAGATATATCTCACCCTAAACTTAGTCATGCATTAGTTAGGCAATAGTTGAATATTGATCAGGCCCCCAAAGTAGACCAGAAAGTTTCCTTTTGATGATCTGTCTATCAAGAAAACTGCCTGTGGATATCTGCAAATATTCCTTTACCTTCTGGGTTACTGTTGAAAATGATACAAGTTGTGAGGTTGAAATGCATCAATTAATAAACTTTCTATAAAGAACAAATGCAATGACTAATACTCTACTGTCACAACTGGTGTCTTCCTTTTCCAGAAAATCAAGGAAAATGTCCCCACCCTATCGCGTGATGCTGCACAATGACAATTTCAACAAGAGGGAATATGTTGTTCAAGTACTCATGAAGGTTATACCAGGGATGACGGTCGACAATGCTGTTAATATCATGCAAGAGGCACATCACAATGGTCTGGCAGTGGTGATAATCTGTGCTCAAGCTGATGCAGAAGAACATTGCACACAGCTAAGAGGCAATGGTTTGCTGAGCTCCATCGAGCCTGCCAGTGGAGGTTGTTAAAGAGAATGAACCTGATGGGTGAATTCTTCAGAAGCAGCACCCTACCCCCCCCCCCCAACCCCCCCTGCATAGATATTGTACATAAATGTTGAGAATGGCGAAGTACCTCATTACCTCTAGTCTGTTGAGCTCGAAGTCGAACATGTTACAGTAAACAATGTCAGCACCATAGACCGCTGAGTTTGTCATACTAGAAATGTATCAATCAGTCAACTATGCCTCAATTTCCAAGTAGTAGGGTCAATCCCAAATATGAATCGACTATTTCCATTATGTTCTATCCAAGTCAAATAATTTGCCTTTTATGGCAAATGAGAGGTTCTGTGCCATAACTATTGATGGTCCTTATTATCCCTTAGAATTAACAATGTGTTATCTTTGACCCACTGGGAGACACACGCACTACCACAGGGGTCGAAGGTATCACATTGCCAAGTCAAATGGGTAACTAAGACAAGTGATAGTTTAGATATGACTCGATGATCTGAACCAAAGTTTCAGACGGATCAGAAGGAATTATGCCTTTCATTGTTCAAGCAAGTCAAACTTTTTTTTTGCACATGCCTATATTTCTTATTTACCTCGAGATCATATAGATAAATCAACTAATATCTTTAGCTAAATTTATTTACAGAAACCTTCATGTTCACTATATATCGAGTTGTACATGATTCAACATGTTACATGAGTATGCAATCAATCGCTAATGAAAATCTCATGTGTGATAGTACATAATATGTGTTGTTAATCAATTAACAATAGGAGTATTGCTCATTGGAAAGTGATTGGTCGAGTTCTTGGATTTCTTTTAATGAGACTAATGATTTGAGTCCTCAATACTCAAAATTTTCAGCAATTTTTGGCCATAAATATGCAACCATTTTTTTTTGGTAGCTTTGGAAAAGAAATTGGCAAAAAATGCAAAATCTGAAAAAAAATTAAAGAAGAAGAAACAACTTGTTTTGGGCTGAAATATTGTACTCCCTCCGTTTCATATTAATTTAATTGTTGAAATATTTTTTATTTTTTAAATTAATATAATTGTTCAATTTTCAAGACTATTTTAAAATGTTTCCAATTTTACCATTTATTAGTTACTATTGGGATTAGTTATTATTTAATGTTTAGTTATATTAATCATATTTTTTATTATAATTAATAAGGATAAAAATAAAAAGTTAAAGACTAATTTATATCTTAATTTTCTTCTTTTTTTAAAAAAATATGAAACACCTTAACAATTCAATTAATATGAAATTGAGAAAATAATTGTTTAGTTCTTTCAAAATCATAAAAAAAAATTATATTTTATTTAAGAAGCTCATCTATTTAGTATTTATGACTCAAACTAAATCTATCTACCCTTTCCCTCGTTAAACACACTCTTGAAACGGACTATAGGCGTAGTACGTAAATTAATTAATTAACACAGCTTGCAATGATAGGTATTTTCTTGATTTGGATTATAAAATATTTATCTGTTCAATAATAATTGTTCACTACACTAAAAAATAAAAATAGTTATCCATAATACTTGTTTAATTTAAAAAATTAAGAAATAATTTATTTTTTCTCTCTATTTTATCCTTGCAATTAAATACTATTATTCATCATCTAACACATTTTTCAAAGCATTAAAGTTAATAAATTTAGGATTATATAGTAATATTATCCCTATTATTATAATATTACTTTTTCTCTCTATTTTATCCTTGCAATTAAATACTATCATTTATCATCCAACACATTTTTCAAAGCATTAAAGTTAATAAATTTAGGATTATATAGTAATATTATCCCTATTATTTATTGTATCTTAAGGGGTGTATTAAATCAAATAGTAGACAACTATTGTTGGACAGAAGGAGTATATAACTTACTTAGATTCTATATATTTGGAGGCTAATTTTATCCTATTTCAAAAGTTTCCGCAGTTACAAAAGCTTAACTTTTAATAACTCTCGGATGCATTCCTTGATTGTTCGATACATTGCAAATGATACATTACTTAACGAGAGAGATGTATCTAAGAGGGAATAAGAACGTATTCAAGATAAAAAAGAGATTTAGAATTTGTATAATTCTTTTAAATGATAGAAAATTTTTAAAAAATTATAATATCTTAAATTATATATTTATTTAATTTTTCATTAAAAGAGTTGTTGAGTAGGGTGGTTAAATAAATGTCCTTGATGTTGTTACGGTAGAAAAACACTAACCGTAAATATTTATACCCATACGCTGATCGTTTATATTATATGTCTATTTATAAAACTAAAAATAAAATATACTAAACTTGTACACTTGCTCATTAATATTTTGTAAATTAAGCCACCTAAAAATATTAAACTCTAATTATGTCTAAAGTAATGTCGAGCATTAAATATTGGGAAGTTCAAGTATTTATTGCTTGAACTACCCACGGTAACCATGTAGTAATTAATTTTACTACAATTATGGATGGTGTATAGCCTTGTAATTAATTTGACAACTACATTTGCAAGTGGAAAGAAATGAAAAAAATAAATCCAACACCAAACACTCACCTCAAAATTTAATTTGAAGAGGAAACAGGTAAGAAAAACTTTTTTATTGAAGTCAACAAACAGCCTATGTGAGATTTTTAAGATTGAGTTACAAAGAGAGCCCATGTTCCATGTAAAAACTCTAATTTATTTAATATATATATAAGATGTGAGGAATATTATACGTAATATATATTCTTTTTAATTTTTCAATGGTGTTTGATTTATTTTCTTCACGAATATTGATATTTAGAATGGTTGAATTTAAACTTGTTCGAATTAATGAGTGACATCATTTATTCAAGAGGCAAAAAGTTTTATTTTTTTGGATTAGAACATATGTGTGGATGAACTTAGAAATGGGTCATCGTGCATCTTGCACCTACAGAAAATCATTTTCTTTTTACTTATATGATTGTTTTATTAAAGGTTTAACTATAAAATTTATCTTTTGTAACTCTTTTACGTACGATAATATAAGATTATATTAGTTTTGAATCCTTTTTTAATTTGTAAAAGAAGAGAAAATAAAAATGAGATGGAAAGACTTGATTTGAGTCAAAGAATTGTTTTCTCTCAATTACTCTCTTTCGCGTAACTATTTCATTCATATCAATTTATATGACATCTTTGATTCAATACAAAGTTTTCGTCGTTCGAATATATGTCAACGTCATTTCATTTAACACAAACACAAAATTTAAGAAAAAAAACTTATGAAATTATTAATCTAAAATAAATCTTAAACATTTATATGACTACAATTGTCATAAAGAAAAAATTAACTTTATTTTTAACTCTAAAAAAATAATATCCTTTTGAAACAAAATTTTTCAAAAGTATCACATAAATTGATTGATCGAGCCATCAAACAAGTGAGGACAATAGTTGCATGTTCACCTTTATCTTTCAAGTAATCTCCTTGTGCGGATGATTTGGCCGATAATTTGACAGAAAACTACGTATGAAAGTCGACTACAAAATTGATATGTTTGTCAAAATTTCAAAAGATTTTCTTTATGAACACTTATCTTTTAAGTTTCAGAAACTGTTTGATTTGACTATTATTGGACCACAATTAGCAAATAATTGCCAAAGAATAGGAAAAGAGGGAGATAAAGTGTGGTAGTAGTAGAAACTAGAAAGGAAAAGATTATTAAGGACAAAAATGATGCACACTAGAAAGAAGAGAGGAAAAAGCAATAATCAATTAATGGTGACAATATCTTCTCTTATTTTATTGTAGTAGTGATAATAGAACAAATAGAGATATAGCCTACCAACAAGATTGTGGTGACTATAGTTAAAACATTTCTCTATTTCCTTCTAATCAAAGTAATTTGAATTTAGACATAACAAAATTCTTTTTTAAAAAATACGACATGATTTAAAGGATGGTCATCTGCGCGAATAATTCAAAATCAAGCGTTCCTAAATGCAGTTTGAGTCAATCTATCGAATAGAGTTTGTCTAGTATAATTTACATCTCTTGTGTAGTTTACATGTTATTGTATTGTGGGGTTAATGCTCACCGAAAAGGCAAAAGTTATGACAAAAGTTATAGCAACAGTAAGTTATTCTAAAATTTTCATGAACAACATAAAATTAGTCGATACCTTTGTAGTTTAGACTAATACCAAATTACGTGGAGAATTAAATATAAATATCAAACACGAAACGACCGAGTCGAAAATAGAAAAACAGATAGGGAGAGCAGGTATCAAGCTTCTTTCTCTGTTTTAAATGCTTTTGTATGGATTCAACAAGTCTGACGTGAGCCCCCTCCCTTCCTTTTATTTCCCCTCATCTTTAGGCTTTTCCCTTCTCTACATATATTCACTTCTTCACTTTCTTTTCATTCATTCTTCAAATTTTCATTTTAAAAAAATGGCTCAATTTTGCTTATTTCTTCTTTTAATCTCTCTTGTTTCTGTCCCCTGTGTTCTCTCTCGTTCTTTGTCATCTTCTTCACATCCTCACACCCAAATCTTCGATGTTGCAGCATCCATTGAGAAAACTGTTCAAGTTCTTACTCCTGCTACACAAAGTTTTCAACAAGAAGCAATTAAGAGTGCCCATTTTAATTCTTCTTCAATATCTGTATCAATTTATCCTCGTTCAGCTCTTGTTAAGCCCCGCCATAAAGATTATGCAGCTCTCACTCTTTCTCGACTTGAACGTGATTCGGCTCGAGTTTCTTCACTCACCATGAAGCTCCACCTCGCGTTAAACAACTTTAATCACTCGGATCTCAAGCCGGTGGAGACCATGGTGCAGCCTGAGGACCTACAGACTCCTATTACCTCTGGAGCTAGACAGGGGAGCGGTGAGTACTTTACTCGGCTCGGCTTGGGTCAACCGGTTAAGCAGTATTATATGGTGCTTGACACTGGCAGTGACATCACTTGGGTTCAATGTGAGCCGTGCTCTGATTGTTATCAGCAATCGGATCCAATTTTTAGCCCGTCGAGTTCTTCTACATACAGTCGGCTCTCTTGCGACGCAGCTCAGTGCTCGGCTCTTGAGGTTTCGGCTTGTGCTAGTAGTCAGTCGTGTCTCTACCAGGTCTCTTATGGAGACGGCTCGTTCACTGTTGGAGAGTTTGCAACTGAAACGGTGTCGTTTGGTGACTCTGGTTCGTTCTCTGAAGTTGCTATAGGTTGTGGCCATGATAACGAAGGGCTATTCGTCGGTGCCGCTGGCTTGATTGCTTTAGGCGGCGGCTCTTTATCTCTACCAACTCAAATCAAAGCGTCGTCGTTTTCCTACTGTTTCGTAGACCGTGACTCTGCTTCATCCTCAACGCTGGATTTTAATTCAGCCCGACCCGGTGACTCCGTAATCGCACCGTTGCTCCGTAACTCGAGAAGGAGCACTTTCTTCTACGTCGGACTCACCGGAATCAGTGTCGGTGGGCAGATGCTGTCGATTCCGGCGTCGGTGTTTCAGGTGGACAGAAGTGGTAGCGGCGGGATAATTGTGGATTCCGGAACAGCGGTGACTCGGTTAAAGAACACTGCTTACAACACTCTACGTGACTCGTTCAGGAAGTACACTCAGCATTTACCTTCCGCCGGGCAATTCGCACTGTTCGATACTTGCTACGACTTGTCGTCGATGAAAAGAGCGAGTGTTCCAACGCTGTCGTTCCATTTCTCCGGCGGTAAAGCATTGCCATTGCACCCGAAAAATTACCTAATCCCGGTGGATTCGTCGGGAAAATTCTGCTTGGCTTTTGCTCCGACGGATGGGTCGCTGTCAATTATTGGAAACATACAGCAGCAAGGGACACGTGTCAGTTATGACCTGGCCAACAATCTTGTTGGATTTAGCCCCGACAAATGTTGAGTAAGAAATAGTAACACACTCTGCATCTCCATTCTCCAGTAACTGCTTTTACCAATATTAATTATTATTGTAAAAATATTAAAAGCAGTATACTTTGTTGGAAGAGAAAAAAAAAATAAAAGAAGCAAATGAAGGGTAGGTGATGGATAATGAATTTATATTAATTATGGATGGTAGGGTTGTTTTTTTTTAAAATTATGAATGTAATGGGTGTAGTTTTTTAATTACTCACAGGAAATTTGAAAGGCGAGAGATTGAAAAGTAGTTGGAAATTAAATGATTGTACTACTGTAATTATTAATTAATAATACTCCTGTATAAGGTTGGAAAGGAAGATGAGAATGGTTGAATATGAATTTAACTCTAGAAAGTGCTATTGACTGGTGAGCCTCATAAATACCATACCCAACTTCTACTACCAACTTTAAATGGAGTCATCTATTGTTACACATTATGAATAGTAAGTACTATACATTTGAAAGGATTTTTTATTTTAAGATTCGAAATTTTTTATTAAAGGAGAAAGCAATAATTTTTTTGAATATGGACAAGATGAGACCACTTGGGTGAGCATTTTGGAGGCATGTTGGAATAAAATATTTCTTTTTAGATTGTGCATGAAATTCTGGGGAAGTGCATCAGCATTTTACGTCAGAGTCAAATTAAAAACAAGCTAAGTTTTGTGATCAGTCATGAGGTGGTCTCTTCCCAGTTCCCGTTGCAGTCTGTCTGGCTTTTGACTTGTTTTTTTCTGACTAAATGGGGGGAAAGAGTGACGAAACATTGATACAGGCCATGAGCTCTTAGCGTTACACAACAAACCCAATACCAGCCTTTTCAACTATTGTTGGTCCATATGTCACATGATGCTCAAAACTACCTTTTATCCTATAGCTTTGTGCTTGCACGGTAAATCAGTGACAAATTTCGAATTTTAAAGTGTATTAACTTTTTAAAATGTGTTTGTATTACTTTTCTATTTAATAATTATTTATTTGTTTCAAATTTTTCACATATATGCTTAAAATTATAAGATTAAAGAATATTTAAATATATCCTATATATCTTTAATTTAAAGTTATAAATATTCAAAAATATTACACTCTCCGTTTAAAAAAAAAAAGACATTTTTTTCTTTTTAGTCTGTTTCAAAAAGAATGATCTTTTTCTTTTTTTTGATAACATTTTGAAAATCAGCTTTTCACGCGGCATGATTGAGGCCACAAGATCAAACGACAATTTTATTCAGTTAACCCAATTTTAATTTAGGACCACAAAATGCAAAATTCTTCTTTATACTCTTAAATTCCGTGTCACGTCAAACCAAGTAATTCTTTAGCTTTTGAACAGAAACTTGAAACATATGGCCGAAGCTATCATCTATACATAGTATTTGCCCTTTTTGACCACTCGGATACTCTTTCCTACTGTTCGAGTAATATTACAAGCACTGCAAGTTTTGAGTAATTCACTTCAACTACTATATTATGGATAGGTTCACAATTTTAAATTGGTGTATAAATGAAAAAAGAAAAGAAATAATAATAATAACCAAGGCAGATGGTCAGATTCTGTTACCAGCGAGTTTAGTGACTAAGAAATTGTTTTTTTTTAAACACAAGATCACTAATTAAGTCATTAATAAAATGACAAATTGGTCTAATTGAAGTTGAAGGGAGGTGGCTTAAGGGAGTTCACATGCTTGAGATTATTATAAAAAAAATATATATATAGGATAAATACAAAGAAGAATCTCCATTGGAGGAGACAACGTGTGGATATTGTCACTTACGAAGTAGGCCATACATGCCTTTAGTAGTGGGATCAGATACTATAAATGACTTGGACTCGGTCGGTAACCTTTTAATTTTGATGTCTTAATCTGCTTTAGCTTTATATACCCATGTTCAATCACAACTTGACATGTATCTCCAACATTAGTTGGCACAGATTAGGACATGAAAGGGTCTAGTCGAGCGAAGATGATCAGTTAAACGTTTTTCGTTGAAAGGATTAAATTTGATACAGAAAAACATATATAACTGATTAAAAATTACTTTTCATAACTGATTAAATATTTTTAGCAAAATTTCTGACACCTTGCATGGGAATCAATCCTAGGATGATACTTGTAGTTCCCAAAACAAGCCTCAGGGCTCACACAATATATGCATAGGTTTTATGTGTGACAAAATAAAGTTGCTCGTGAGTGGACCGTATATATTAACTCAGTCCACCATAATTTTGCTCAAAGTTTCTTAAAAGATAATTATAAATAACTGTAAGTGAAATTAATCACTAGAAAAAAAAAATGAAGACAACTTAATACACACCATTGAATAAATGATATTTGCATTGTACGTGTATATTAGTTAAAGTGATTTTCGAATTAAGTGCAAAAAGAGGGACATCCTATAAGAATCCACTGCGCTCATGTTCTTTGGCTCACAGAGCTAATAGTCACTTACCATTCTTTGGCTGCTTGTGGTTTATCAGTTAATCATATTAGTTGGTACAATTTCCTTTTCCATTTCTTTATCAAAACGTTCAATTCCCAAATTATTCGTATGGTTAGAAATAGAGTCTTCATAGTTGGATAAATCAGGAGATGATACATCATAATTAAAGTTCAACTGAATCTAGTTCAGTAAAGGTAACATCAGACATGTCATTAGATCGTAAAGGGTAAGACTGGGGATTCATAACAATGATGCAACTCCGGAACAACGAGATGATAAGCATATTAGTGACAAGTCAAGATAAGCGTTAACAACAATAACAGTACATTCTGAAAGAATCTAAAGTTCATCCCAATTAAATCGTGTTGCACAAAAGACGTTACTTGGGATTAGACTCTATATTTATTCCTTTCCCCTTACTTGTGGCACATATGATTTTCATCACACATGCGATAATACGCTCACCCATTCAACCTGTTGGAAGCACCAGATTCCAACAGGTTGCCATTCCCAATTTCCCATCATTCTCTTACTTTGTTTTTTTGAGTAGTCCGAATAATTTAACAATTCAGTGCATGCACCAATTTATATTTATTTGCAATTATTTAAGTACTTTGTGATAAAAATTTAGACACACATATTAAAAGGAAACTACAAAATTAAATAACGAAAATGATGCAAATCAGAATAATGAGGAAGATCAGTACCAGAATCACAAAAAGGAAAATACCTTTTCCGAAGAACACAGTGAAAACGACACTGCTCCATTGACATATCTTTGGCAACATTTTAAAAAGTTCTGCGGAAGTGCTGCTCATCTAACTCCTGCAATATGATGGTACAATTAGGGTTTTAGTAAGGGAGGAGAAGAGGCGAACCAAAGGACCGTGGCTAGAAAATGCTAATACTACAGTCATCGAGCTTTCGATATATGGCCGGAATCGGAATTTAGTATCCGACGGAAGTTTGATATGATGGTGCAATTAGGGTTTTAGTAAGGGAAGAGAAGAGGCGGACCAAAGGACGGTAGCTAAAAAATGCACATACTACAGTCATCGAGCTTTAGATGTGTGGCCGGAATCGGAATTTAGTACCCGACGGAAGTTTGATCTGAATGCAGTTGCGCATTAAAAAAATGAACGCCGCTGCCGGGGATCGAACCCGGGTCACCCTCGTGACAAGCGGGAATACTTACCACTATACTACAACAACTTTATTGTGATGAAAGAGTAAAATATGTTAATTCCCATTTCTGCTTGATGAATCGGGAAAACCAGAGTCGCCGGCAGGGCAAAAACGAACGCCGTTGCCGGGGATCGAACCCGGGTCACCCGCGTGACAGGCGGGAATACTTACCACTATACTACAACGACATTAATACTATTAGAAGCTTAGCATTTTATATATTGAGATAAAGATTCTTCAACATACTTCAAAAAGTTAAGGCTCTATAGCATAGCGAGGTGCAGATGAACGTACTTGTACGGTAGTGCCTCACGATTTTTAGTTTTTTACTGCCTACTTAAGTGCCATAGGTTCCTATGCTGGGGTATAGTTATTTCAGTGGAAACAAAAGATTATCGGTTATTCAATTTAAGGCACATGAACAATAACAATTTCAAAGATAAATTTGAAAATATATGAGCTGCATAATTAAAAGAACATTTATAATGAGCTAGTATATAACTAGTGTGATTAACTGATTGTGATACCTAGTTGAAATATTGAAATCCAAACTTAACATGCAAAAATAAAAATCTCTGGTGAGATTTGCCATAAGACAGTAAAAGAAAATGATAATGAGCTACATAAAACTAATTGATTTTACGTTGTGTTGAGGTATATCGATTCGTTTAATAAATTGACGTTTTATTTTACAATGTGAAATGCAAATCTAAATGACACAAGCCCTTCGTAGAAGAATGCAATTAAACACAAGTCAAGTGACTTCCGCATAGCAAACATATATACTCGATCACTTATTACAATAACATACACAATGTAATGGAGTGTACACAAAAAAGTTGTATCTGATAGATATCTTTGGCTTAAAAATCAAGTATGTGAAGCAAATAAAGTAGCATATATTCCAACAATGAAATCACCAAATTGAAAAGAGACCAGAAATAAAAAAATAACATTATCAAGTCACTTATAAGGTATGTACACTTAATCTCATGTATTTGTAACTTCTTCACACTATCAGTATATCTAACTTGTATCCTTTACTTCATACCAGATTTCATCGCATGGTCCTTCCATTCATTGTCGCGCTGTAACTGGACATGCACAAGAGTACCACGAGGAAAGAGAACGCAGGAAAACAGGAAGACACCTGCAGAACCAGGATCTCATTGAATTTTATGCGAACTGAATTATACAATTAAAGTAACCTTCTTCAACCCATACACATTATATAGAGCTCCTATCTGCTCCCCGGTGATTGCAATGATTGCGGTGGAGCAGTTGATGAAATGAGAAGTACCTCAGGTAGTGTTTCAGTTTTGCTCATGATGCTCAAAGAAGCCAGAAATTGCTGAAGCAGGGTTTAAAGCAGCAACAACTGCTGTAGCCTGTAAATCAAGCATTATGGCTGAGAAAAATTGTGATAGTTTGCAGTTGAAACAAGAAGAGAGGTACTGAGATATTTATCGATAACCAAGCTCCATAGAGTATAGACACATAACAACATCCAGTCTTTCATGGAAGAACTAAACATTTTAATATCAAATTATAATTTTTTAAGGTGAAGTACCGATTAATGGTGAAGTGATATTGGTTTATAGTAAAACAAAAAGTCAAGTGGCTGATATTTTACCATGTAATTTCATGTTAAGATTTGAGCTTCTCAGAGAAAAGCTAGGAGTTGACATCCTAGTCTAGGAGGAGTGTTTATTATGTCTCAGGACCTGATTGTGTGCTAACAATTTCTAGAAGTGCTGAAACTCACTCAACAATTGTGGCTAAAATCGTGAGAGTTAATAACAAAATCGGATAACCGAATATTTGATTTTTAGGGATTTTTTTTATGTTAATTGTGAGTTTGTTTTCTGATTAAGAAAAATAGAGTTTAGACTGCTGTAATTTATATGCCATTTTGTAAGGTTTTAGCTGTATTCTATCAAATAAATTCATATTACAGACATTCCAACATCTCACAGAGCTAGCCTTGATGTAAAATGTAAATGCACCAACCTTGCTGGAGATGGAAAAATAGAAGAATATCAATAAATGTATGATCTACAGAAAAAGTCAATTGATTTACCAATCTAGACAACACAGAGCATCGTTATAGACTAAAGATGAAACAAACGAAAACAAACTGACTTTATAACATAAGAACTCCATAACCTTCTATTTTTATGGTCTAAAACCTCAACACTTTTGATTTACCAATCTAGACAACATAGAGCATCAATATAGACTAAACATGAAACAAACGAAAACAAACTGACTTTATAACATAAGAACTCCATAACCTTCTATTTTTATGGTCTAAAACCTTAATGGATGACTAAAGACTAACAACATGTGACTTAATAAAAAAAAACAATAACTGAATATATCAGAAGACTCGACCGCTGGTAAACTCTTCTCCAAGCATAATTCCAATGTCAAGAACTCCAATTACCAACTACATGATAATTATGAGTTCAAGAACTCTCATCTTCTTCTGGCTCAGGGGCAACATTTAAATCAAACTTTAGATGCTCAACCAGAATAGCAGCTTGTGTTTCTTTTTTAATTTTCTCTACCCTCAACTTCAATGCCAACTTCTGCTCCTCCATGTGTTTATCTGGAGGTGCTTCTGAGCCAGAGTGCATAATCTTATACATTAGTTTTCGATTTTTTTCTTTCTCGTTCCATGCTTGTAATTCTTTATGGAGAGCTCCCAATACCTCAAAGCCGTTCATTTTTCCCTCAGCATGATCACGTTGGTGATCCTCTAGTTTCACTTTGAGATATTGATCGATGATTTCTTCTATACTTGTGGAACCATGGGAATATGGTTTTCCACTTGGTGAAAAGAGCATAACACCTACATCTGCTCCGGTCTGAGCAGCAAACTTATCTACATCTTGGAACAAAGTTCTTTTTCTTTTTGAGAAACTCACTGTGCGTGCTTTCTCGGATTCAATCAACTTCATTTCAATCTTTTGCTTACCTTTTTTGGTCTCATTTTCCATTGCAAAAGAAAATGATTGAAGAAGAAGATACAATGTTTTGGCTGAGCAATTTTGTGAGGGAAGCTTGTCTAATTTATAGTAGATTGCCAGGGGTATTGTCACGCTAACTACATGTTCTCATATTATGAGAATATTGTTATCACGTGTGTTGCCATTTTATTTATTGTTTTCACATTGTGACACTATTTGTCACATTTATTCAGTGTTTTCAATTATGCCATTCTATTACGTGATTACTATTATTCTCAACAAAAGATGCCTTTTTATTTGTTCCGCAATTGCAAAGTAACAACATTGAATTGAATTTAAAGATAAATGAAAACCAAATTGTAATTTTTATATAATGTTTTCATATTATGAATCTATTTGTCACGTATATTGCCGTGTTTATTTATAGTATTCATATTATGAGTATATTTCACGTGTTTTGTCACAGTTATTTAGTGTATTCATATTAATACCTTTAAGTTATTTACATTATAATGTTAATTCAAAATGGGAGCCTTGAATCAACGGTAAAATTGTCTTTATGTGACCTATAGGTTACATGTTCGAGTCATAGAAGCAACCACTAATACTTGCATTAGGGTAGATTGTTTACATCACACGCCTTGCCTGCAAGTTGCGACCCTTCTCTGGACCTGATAAAGCGGGATGTTTTGTGCTTTGGACAATCCTTCTGTTGTATAATGCTTATTCTATACTATGAAATAAAAGGAAACATGTGAAATAACTATTTTTACTTTTTATTTTTAAGTACATTTTCTCCTGATGCGATTCAAGAAAAAAACCTCGACAACTCCAGCTCAATGAAACCTTATAAGTTGATTTTACCCCTCTAATTAGTTACATTTATTGTTACTTTTTTATTAATCGTGATTACTTTAACTGAATTTATTGAACTAACTACTTCCCTTATTTGAGATCATCTTTATCACTTTCATTGTAATTTTCAAGATTTTCTTTAAGTAATATCAACATTCTTTAAGCAATATCAACAATTGTGTGCCGGTAACACTAAATTCATAGTGCACACATTACAACTAGGGGTGTCAAATGGGCGGGTTGGGTTGAAATTGGAGATATTAAAATGGGTTAAGATAGAAATCGGGTTGGGTCTTGACCCGCCCAAGTTTACTTTGGGCTAAAATGCGGTTGGATTTAAATGGGCTAAAAAACAGTTTGGGTCTTGATCTACCCAATTTGACCCGATTAATCTCAATAATTTTAACATACTGATATTTAACTTTCATAATCACATTCGAATTTCCGCTCAAGATTTTTTTGAAAAAAGTAATAAATTGATAGATAAATCCTAAAATATGTTAAATAGATAATAATTCATATCTTTACTATAGGAACATATTAATAGATAAATCCTAAAATATGTTTAATTCTATTTGGTTAATTAAGCACATCCCACATTAGAAGATGAGATGAAGGTGCAATCTCCAAGGTGTCAAGATAGAGGTTTAGAGCTTCGAACTAAAATTACTGATACACCTTCCCAATATCATAGCTTTAATGATAAACTCTCTTTGAGTCTAGGTCAGGATTAGAAGTTATAGCCCTTAACTAACACAATTATTATTTGTTTCCCCTACATAAAAGATGTAACCCAGCGTATGTCAAACAAAGGAACAAGAGTTTGCAATCCAATCTTCTGGATATAAGTGAGAGAGTTTAACTTAATGTCATCACTCAACAAACTACTCATAGAATTTTGTCTGAAGAGAGAAGGCTTACTTGTTACCAAGAAGAAAACATCCACTCCTGAAGTAATCTTGTCTCTCAAACCTAGTTCCTTGTATCTTTGGTCCCTTTCCTATTATAGACAAAACAATTTGATAAGATGAGGACCAAGAACCTCCAATAGCATGAGTAAAATGGGTATGAAGCATGTACAGATTGAGAAATGGAAACAAGGGAAATACAGAAAATTGAAGGAAGCTATTGCACTGACTAGACAATGTAAAATTGTAATATGGGGAAATACAAAGCCGAGAACACATAGAAACAATTTAGAAAATGGAATCATAAATGTTTCTGCAATTTTTATGTATGGAACGTTAAAAATAGCACATGCTTTATGCTACTCTTATGAATTTAAATAGTTTGGAAGCTAATTCATAGGCCTCAAAAGAATGGACTTGGCAGATGGAGGCAAGTGGAACAACTAAGTTTTACTAACACCAACCTAACCCTGCCATCATGGAAAAGAAATTCAATTAAGATATGACAGAAAAATTGGGAACCTTCTTCGAGAAAGCTGCAAATGGATTTATATCCTCTTCTTACATCTTCTTGTATTTGGACTCCTCATCTGAGCTGAAACCACTTCCTAGGTCTTCTGCATACTGAGAATGAGAAAACAACATTTCAGAAGAAAAAGAAATTGAAGCAGACTGTGAAATCAACAATAAAATCATACAGGTCACCTTCTTTGATCCTCTTGAAATCACTCTCTCAGAATTATAATCTTGAACATAACAGATCTTTCCATAAAGTTTGATATCTGCTTTTGTTTTCTTAAGGTCTGAGGTCAACGCCCCTATCTTCTCGTTCAGACGTCTAATTTCCTAGAAAGATCAAGGTTTAATAACAACGATTCTGAGGTTTTATAGAAGGTAAGTAGGAAAACAGAAGTAGAGATCATTTCAGAAATAAAGGTAAAAAAGAGTGCAACACTCTTTCAGTCTCCTGCAAGCGAGCCACGAAACGGTCTCTTTAATATACGTCAATTTATTGAAAGCTCATATTCATAATATCGGAATATTATAGCGTTTTAGAACTTCAAATATATGAATCAGAAGCATTGAACTTTTGCAAATCTAATCTTAAACATTAATAGATAACTCGATAACCTTATCCTTATATGATGTTATCTATGATCCCCATCCAGTACTCTTCTCTCTCCACATCCATCCCTTGAACAGATGTCATTCATTTTTATCAATTGATCTTGTGTTTCATATGGTTTTAGATTAGTTTCTCATCACTTGTTCCTCCAACTCACAGAGTCGATCGCCAAGGTCTCTTCAAGACCACTGGAGTTATGCAATCTTTTGGGGTAACCATAAGCGTTGTCCAAAAAGGCAGTCTAACTGTTCGGTGACTAGTTCCTCAAAGGAGTCAGTTAGAGGAACAAGAGATGTAGTAAGTAGTAAGAGTTCACAATTTAAAACTTTTATCAGAACCCATATTGATCAACATCATATTCCATAGTGCTCTGACGTGTGTTACTTGAACCAATGGTCTTTCAAAAACAACCTCTTCACCTCCCGAGGTAGGGATTAGATATGCCTACATCCAACCCTCCCTACACCCGGCTTTGTTGTTGATGATGGTGAATATCATTATACACAAAATAATCATATGAAAAATTTAATTATTGAGCTACAGACAAAAGTATGTAAAGAACTAAGTCACAGAAATCAGAAAGAAGCATACAATGCAAAATGAACATTTTTCTCTATTAAATTCACTTCATCACCAGCAATTCAAATCCAACTAAAACCCGAGCTAATTTCCCTTCTCTCATTCTATCTCTCTGTTCCAACATTTTACAGAAAAATGCGAAGCAACTTGACTAAGCAGTAGCTAAAAACCCGATTATTGCATCACATAAACTGCCGATTATTAGAACAGAAACGCGAAACTGCTTTTGCCTTGTGTTAAAGTGAACTAATCCCAAAATTAACACAAAAAATTTGACAAAATTTAACAGCAAAACCTACCACGGGGCCGGAAATATGCATCATAAAGTGAATAAACAGATAATTGCGGCAACACATACCTCTCCAGTAGCTAGCGACAGCAGCAAGAGGAGTAGAAGAAAAACGAAGTTTTCTCCTTCTTCCTGAAGATCCATTGTTCACCTAAGCCTATCAATAATCAAAATTTGCTAGGTAACAATCCGATGCGATGATATAAAGAAAGTTGAACGATATTATTATTATTTTATATAATAACCTCCCGTCGCAAAAATCTTCGCTACAGTATGAATATGACCCTTGAGTTAGGCCCGTTTGGATTTGACTTAATAAAAGCAGCTTTAAAAAGTATTTTTGAAAGTGCTGAAACTTATTTTTAAAATAAGCAGTTATGCGTTTGGATAAAAGCGTTGAAGTTGTTATGCCAAACGTGAAAAGGGAAAAATAGAAGAAAGAGATGTTAGGGTTATATGGATAATTTGGATATTGTATAAAAATATTAAGGGGAAAAACGTAAAAATATGGTCAACTTAAAACAGCTTATAAGCTAAAAAAAAAAAAATACCCCTACCCCAGCTTTTAACTTTTGGCTTAAAATAAGTTTTTTTTAACTTAAAATAAGTTGTTTTGAGTATTGCCAAACAGTTAAATAAGTCAAAAACCAGCTTTTAAGTCAGTTTAACCAGCTTTTAAGCTGAGCCAAACAGACTCTTAGTGGATAACTATATTCTTAACTTTAAATTTATATAAATTTACATTTAAATTTATATAAATTGAATAAATTAACATATTTATTTTACATGGCATCTTATGAATAATTTATATTTTACGTGGCGTCTTACGTGTATCATGTCATTTAAGATATGTATATTTATTTATTTAATTTTATATAAATTTAAGTATAATTATTTACATCCAAAATTAAAAGTTATAATTATCAGTTTATTTTACATGGCATCTTATGAATAATTTTTACTTTATCCCTATTTAGTTTCTGAAAAGTTTCTTTGGCATAAACACTACTTTAGAATTTATGATTTATTTAATTTATAAGATGATATTTAATTAGATAGACAATTGTTTGTATATTGTACTTGATGAATTGTGCGTTATCTGAATTAATTAACTTATTTTAGTTAGCAAGTATAAATGTGATTTTTAGTCGTAAATGATAAATGTGAATGATAAAATAATATTTTTAAGTTGTTTAGCGTAATTTATTAATCGCCGTTTGTATTTGTAATTCGCAGAAAGCAAAGAAAGTTTGATAGAAAGAAATTGATATGGCTCATCTGCAAGTTGAGAAAAAATCGAAAAAACTAATGAGCATTTTACAAATTACAGAATTTCAGAAATTGCTTATGTATTGTACTTGTTACATTTTTACTTTATCCCTATTGTGTCGTTAGAAAATCAATCTCGTATTCATCATATCGTTGATAGGCGATAGCGTCAAGAAAAAATATGGGATTTCACCGATATACTATTGGATTGAAAGTAAATATTAGGTAAAACTGTTCAATTTCAAATAATATAAAACATAAATATATCTTTTTCACTATTCGAAATTCCCAAATGTAAATGCAATACGCAAAATCAATACCTTATCAACTTTCTAGTTTCCGGAGATTGGTGATATAATTATACTTGAATCTTAATTACATCTTATCGTGTTTGAAATAATCATAAATATTACCAAAATAATGTGATGCTCTTGATTAGAGATCTCGAATTTAGATACGATCCTGGGTCTTACCACTTATACGACGAGTCCCAATATTTGGTACTCAAGATTCTTTAATAGTGCAAGTCTTTTACATATTGTATTCAATGTCCAAAGATGATCATTGGAATTGTACAATCAGTATATTGAAAGTTATATAAGTAAAAGTCGTCCCTCACTGCTTCACAAGTGTACAAATATTTTAGGCTTTTAGTTGACTTTGAAGAAAGATGCTCACATTGCTTTGTGGACTAAGTCTTTGGTTTAGAGTTGTCATCATCACGATACTACTAAATTTCCATAATAACTGCAATCACTTATTGGTATTGTGTAAATCAGGTCAAAGTTGTCATTGTTTGATGATAGCATATCTTGTTCACATCTCTACGTTTTTCTCATTGTATTGAATGATAATTTTCACGTTAATGCACCGACTAGCTATATGCGAAGTAGAATCAGGATTTGGAGTTTATAATTAAACCCGCACATGATATTGTAGCTTCGCCCCTGGCTATTAAGAAGGAAACTTGAGTGTTCACATATTATTAGGAACTTAATAAATAGAGGCTGCTTAAAGTAATAATATTCCCATTATCTCTATAGTTGACATCAATCAACTATGCAGGAACGTGGAATCAACATGTCCCTCAACAGCCAAATTTACCAAAATTAAACAATGAGCCTAGTGGGAGTTTAGGAGCCAAATTTCCATAATTATTATTTCATGTCTATTAATAGTCTTGTATCAACTCAGATCCTTTTATTCAACAAAGAGAGGGAAGAGAGATGGGGCGTATAGGTGCGAAACCCATTCATCAGTTTCAAGTTCAAAACCAAAATGATCAGCACCCGCTACAGCCTCGTCAAGATTACGCTTCTCAAGTGGAAAGTTTTGACTATTATCAAGCCCCTGAAACCATTGATGAAATACCTCCACCATCCATTGAGTCTTTCCATGAAGATCTTTATCCAGAAGAAAGTCAAGATGAACCATCACAAGAACTGACAATGCAAAGTGAATCACACGAAAATCATGAAGACTCGGTACAACAACAACAATATGTACAGGCAGTGACCACACAGGTTTCTCAGCAAAATGGAAAGACTCAGAGACCAAGGAAGCAGCCTAAGCCCAAATCAGGGACTCTAAGGTCACCGATACACCCTAGCCAACACAACAGCTTTCCCATTCATGACCCTCAACCTCAAGCAGAAGCCTTTTCTACGCCTCAGTCTCAACCCCAGCCACATCCCTTCCCACCTGCTCAAGATTACAACGAGCCGCACACCTTTCCTCCTATGCAAGAAGAAGCCTTCCCTCCTGCTCAGGACAGTTATGAACCACATAGCTTTCCTCCAACTCCTAATAAAGTACATGCTTTTCCACCACCTCAAGTTGATCCCCAATTATATTCTAGACCACATGCATTTGTGCCTCAGAATCATAACGTGCCAGTTTTTGCTAGCTCTCAGCCTCAAGCAGGTACTAATTTTCCACAGCACAGTTTAGCGCAAGGTTCACAGATAGGAATGGGTATGGGACAATACCAACAAGGGATGCAACCAGCACCTCCCATGATGGGCATCCCCTTCAAGCCCATTCTTCCAACTGAATCTTGGAAGACTGGATTGTTTGATTGCATGGAAGACCCCACAAATGGTAAGCAATTATTTAATCTCATGCACTCAAGCACGCGCACACAAAGGATAAGTTTCAATGTGATTTACTAACTAGTGCAAACTTTCAGCTCTCATCACAGCATGCTTCCCCTGCCTGACATTCGGACAGATTGCGGAGATTGTAGACTCTGGACAAACTCGTAAGTGATACATAGATAAGAAAAAACAAAAATGGAAATTCTTACACTTCATAGCAGTTGGGGTTCCTTTGTGAATTTTCTCTACTTACATAATTATCTTCTATTAACTATGGATACTCTCTCCCCTCGTCTCTCTTTTTTTTTGTCTATACTATAGCTTGTACCACTAGCGGCTTAATCTATGGGGCGATTCTTATGTTCATTGGAATGCCTTGCATAATGTCATGCACCTATCGTACAAAGTTGAGGAGCCAGTACGGGCTAATGGAATCACCGGCACCTGACTGGGTAATCCACTGCTTTTGTGAATGCTGTGCTCTCTGTCAAGAATATCGAGAGCTTCACCACAGAGGACTTGACCCTTCCATTGGTAATTCTACTTACAACCTTATTTTATTTTTATAATCACAAGTATTAAGTTGCTAGGTCAATTGTATCTATAAATTATGAACCAGACCTCCGTTTTATGGGTGTCATATTTGTAAACTACATGGAATGTTCTTCATTGACAGGATGGCAAGGAAATCAGGCACAGAAACAGAACATGCAGTTACAACAAGCTATGGTCCCTCCAGTTCACCAAGCCATGATGGGCTGATTAATTTGTAGAAACTAAAGTATTTATATTGTGCTTCTCTAAATTTTGTTCTGGTCTATATGTATGTTTCTGTGTTCCTTTGCGATTTGTAATTCCCCAAATGGGAAAGAGAAATAATGCTAAATTTTAAAATGTTTCTGGGATTTTCATAATGAAGAACTATCTTTTAATGCAAAAGGAACTTTCATAGCTCATCATATGGCACCATTAATTCCCTTACTGGAGTTAGATGATAGTAGCAAGGCTAAGTACTTCAATTAGGTTCACTTTCCACTTACGTTATAGCTTAAATGATACTACTCTACTTGTGAGAACAATTTTGATCTCTTTCCTGATATAAAATCGTCTTGGGGCAACTATAGAAACAATGTTTATTTACAGGAATTCACTGCAACTCAAAACCAAGTGGGTGATACACCCACCGACCAGTGTGGATGGAAAATGGAAATATATTATTCTTCACAGTTGCTGTTACATCAATTTCCATACCTATGACCAAAAGTTACCAACTCAGGACCCAGGGCAGTGGCCTCCATCTCACTGCGAACACTTATAATGCTGGATCATACTGGTTTACCCTAATACTTCGCGTCTAAGATGAAGGGGGCTAAACCAACTTGCCAAAGTCAGGGATTTTAAGAGTTCACACTGGAGCTTTCCACCTTAGAGAGAAGTATGCTGAAGTGTATCTACATTATAAAGCAGGCATACACAACATCTTACTATAGCAGGTTGCTTGCTACTTCACTAATAACAACAAATTACTTCTAGCCAGTTCAGCCCCACACAATACACATCTGGATAACATACTTGTGTATTATGTTGCTCATAATAAGTTTGATAATTTTTATTCATATTGTCTTCACGATTTGTATGTGGTGTGGAGTATGTAATATGTCTGCATATGCATATGTTCAAGATAGTTGCCATAAAAAATCACAGAGATAGTTGCTATAAAATCTTGTAAGGCTGCCCCAATAAATTTATCGAGCTAAATATTTTGAAAGAAAAGAACTTTATAACTCAGACAAATGTTCAAGAATTTTCACGAGCTTAAAAGTCCAATCTATTTTGAGTACAAATTATACAAGATACATGTACAATGCATGTACGTAGTGACTAGTGCAACCAAATAGAGCAAACTTATACACATAATCCCTAAGAAAATGCAGGAGTCACCCTTAAAACCTAGATGTTTATAGTAGCATCCCACAGTCTAAGCAACCCATTGCGTCCACCACTACAAATCCTTTTCCTTTCAAGATCAGAAGCCACACATCGTACCTGAAGATAAAAGATGATGGCATATAAAGTTAAAGAGCAAATGATACAGTATTTAACACTACAGCTGATCTATTCCAAGGCAGCAGGGCATGGCAAGAAAAAAGAATTTAGAAAAGAAAATACTAAAACAGGAAAATTGACATAGTGGAGACCTGAAGAGAAGTGTTTTCCGGTGATCACAAGGACCACCGGAGTTTGCTCCACTAATTCAAATGTAAACCTCGAAACTAGTGCCTACTGCAGTGTTATCAAAGGCTAAAAGCCCAAAAAAGTTGTAAGGTCCGTGGAGGCTTTAAGTGCAAAGCGCAAATAAAGCATGAACTTTAATGAAAAAAGGCGCAAAGGGAGAAAAGAATACAAATATATATTTTAGTCCAAGTCTAATAATTATACAAATATATGACCAAAGAAATTGAAAAAGAATTATGATAAAGTGAAATATCAATTAGTTAGTTTCACTTCTTTATAAGAGGCTCATTGGCAAGGAAATGTTTGCCTTAGAACCTTGATTGACAACATGAAGCGCACATAAAGTGAGGCGAAGCGCTTAACACGTTTTGAGCCTCGCTTCAGGGCTTAAGCGCGCTTATAGCGCGTCTTTGATAACACTGCTGCCTAGGCGCATTTTAAAAATTATTATTGCTAGTTCCTTGATTCATTAGATGCTTTTTCTATTAGTATCACTCAAAAAAGGTTTAGGACTGGTACAGCCAAAAAAGAAAAAGACAATGGTCAAAAATACACTTGAACTATCACTTCTTCACACCCCAACTATGATCTATTCTCTTTTCCTACTTGAATTATCACCATCATCTATGTATTAAAACTTATCTAGTTGAGTAGATGGTGATAGTTCAAGTAGGAAACAAGAACAACTCATAGTTGGCCTAGTCAGCTTCAACTGTATTTTAATACAAAGATGGTGATAGTTTAGGTAGGAAAAGAAAACGGATAGTTGGGGTGTGAAACTTGCAAAAAAGTGATAGTTCAGATGTGTTATTTTACCATTATCTCAACAACAAACAATCTATCTCCCAAAAAAAAAATGCATACCATTGCTGCTGTTTTCTGAGGAGTTCTGTAGAGCTGCCATCCCGCCATTTTTGAACCAGCACTAGAGAAGCCACCTAGCCTCTCTTGAGGACGGTGAAAGAGAGACATTGAATTATCAGCAGCCCCTATTCCTAACCAGTGTTCCCCAGCATCAATGGACAATATTGAGGCAGTATGGATAGTGACATTCTTTATACACCTTATGCCGCCTACACATAAAAAGAACAGCTTTAGTTATTCAATCAACCAGTTCATCGTCCATACATCTCTATGGAAGAGAAGATAGTTAACTAATGTCAACATTCGTCTACCAACATCCCAAACATCGAATGTCCAGCAAAGCTAGAAGCACGCTGTATATAAGAATATTGTGTGAATGTGTTGCTTAATACTCCTATATACTAAATTTTAATAGCACAGTTGACAATCATATTGACAATGTCAGCCAGTAAAAGAGTAAAACCCCATCCATGGTCAGAGATGCAATCTAAGATCAGATTGCTCAAATGGATACGGAAAGTCTTATGTACTAACCATGACAGTTCACAATCAGTACAATTCAATGTGAAAACTCTGAATTCTCGGCCTGGTAAGGGTACATTAAATATCAGACTTCTGGCATTACAAGGCTACATTATATTGATGATAGACTTTTGATATGATGGTGTTAAAACGACATACCCTGTGTAATCCCACAAGTGAGGTCTGGAGAGGGTTGAGTGAAAGAAAAACTTCATCATGCTAACAAAAATATTTAAAATACAGGTTCTAAACTTGTGATTATGTTTGATGCTTCCCAACTTTAGAATGTCACAAAAAGTTTGAACAATTCCATAAATCAAATTGAACATAGAGGGTTCCAGTTTCTTTAATGATTAAAAAGAGAAAAAGAAAAGATAAGTTGGGTCCAATGTTATCAAAATCGAAAATCACAAAAAAAAAAAAAATTCTAAGGTCCGCTAGGGCTTTAAGCGCACATAACACATGGGCTTTAACGAGAAAAAAAAGGTTCAAATGGAAAGATACAAAAATATATGCTTAGTCCAAGACTAATACTAAAAAGCATTAATAACATAGGACAAAGAGATTGAAAAAAAATTACGACAAGAGAAATATTCATTGTTTAGCGTCGCCTTGTTAAGAGATGCTTATTGGATAAAATATGTCTTAGGACCTTAATGATAATGACAGTGAAGCGCATTAAGTGGGGCAAAATGCTCAACATGTCTTGCACCTCGCTTCAGGGTTAAGCGAGCCTTTGACAAGGCGAGTTGTACTATTATTGATATTACAGGTAGAAATCTCACCTTAAATAGAGAGATGTCATTAATAACTTACAACATATTAGTATCTAAATTCTAATACAACAACAACAAACCCAGTGAAATCCCGGAGGTGGGGTCTAGAGAGGGTAGAGTGTAAGTAGACCTTAACCCTACCTACCTACCCCATGGAGGTAGAGAGGCTATTTCCAAAAGACCCTTGGCTCAAGTAACACATATCAAAGCAGTTTAGAGGAAAAAAAGACAGAAGTAAAGAAGACCTAGCAAATAATAGCAAAAACATACAAAAATCGACGGACAAGAAACTACAAGACTAATGCTGATAAAAGAATAGTATCTAATACAGATAAACGAAGAACCAGCTTAAGTGTAACTCAAAAAGGCATAATGAGCTATCTGTCTGAACAATTTGATTTGCCAAATGCCATTAGAGAGTCAAGGATTCGGATGTTTTTAATTAGTATTTAGGAAGAAGGGAATCAGCTTCATTATGATGATAATAAAACTATAATAGATGGATTCACATGCAATTCAATGTTTTCCCTGTTACATTAACTGCATATTGCTAGCTAATTCTCCATTAAGTCAGGGACAGACTGGGTTACTCAGAGGAATTAAACAACCAATTTTCAGGAAAGACTTATGCTTACCATCATCATTTTCCCAGAACCGCAGAAGACCATCGCTTGAACCTGAGAGCATTTGTTTCATGCTTTAGAACGTACTATTCAAGATTTTGATCAACAAAACTGATGAAAAATAATAATACCCTGAGAAACAATAAAAGGTAACTCGGAAACCGAATACTTCATTATTTACTGGTAACCTGTTATTATCCCTTTGTCCGCTGAGGAATACTCCACGCATAGAATTGGACCAGCATGGCAAGCTAGCACTGCATCACATTGTCCTCTAGAAACAGACCAGATTCGTGCCGTCCAATCATCACTACCTGTTATCACCGTGTCTCCCACCATTCTAATTGATCTGTTTGAAATTACAAGTTCCATTAATTATCATAGAAGCACAGCATAAAAGGAAAAAGATAATAACTCTGAACCTTATCTGACCTTATCCATTTGGTATGTCCCATAAGCTTGTGCATTTGCCTCCCAGCACGAACATCCCAAATGTTTGCAACCCTTCAAATGGAAATATAAAGAAGTCAGGCTTGTGCCAGTATACTAACAAAAGATATTCATTAACGATTAAGAGCATGTTTGGATTGGCTTTTGGTTTTTTTTAACATTTTAGCTTAACATCAAGTGCTTATAAGCATTCCTTAAAAATTACCCAGACACTGCAAAAAAATGCTTAAAAGCTATTTTAGCTTAAAAGCACTTAAAATAAGGCAATTAAAACATGCTCTAAGTTATTCAAGGATTATAATGTGCTGCATAATATTGTATGGATTTCCATGTGGTGAATAATAATGCATAGGTGTTGCACAGTAAACAATAGTAATGCATAGATTATTATGTAGGAAAAGCCTACTTTAGGGACATCTTTGTTTTTAGATACTCTTATCCAGGTAAATCGAATACACATATGCCTATTCCACATTCTATCTCATA